GGAAGAAGCTTAAAGTAATCTTCTGATCTCCCCTATATGCTGTGGTCTTCTTGTAGTCGTAGCACAACTGAGTCAAAAAATGTCCATTGTCTGAACAATAATGAAGGAGTAAACGTGGAAATCCTATTAGTGTTTCATGGACCATAGCTGTCACTTCATTTGCTCTGGAATTCCTTCCATACATCCGTGACAAAGGTTTAAGGTTGAGTTTCTTGACACTTTGAATGCATTAGCTGTTTCTCAGACAAAAGTCTGTCAAACATACTGAGTCATCTAAAGGGTTGTATTTATTTCTGTAATACATGAAATAGCGTTAGTGTTGGTAAGCTTGATCTTGAGGGAGAAAAGCACAGTACTAGAATTTTGTGGGGTTTTCTTTCCTGGTGAGTATTAGACAAATGTATCATTTTCTTGTAAACTTCTCTTTTTCTGCTTCTGTTTTTTGTATCTCCTCATTCTAAACAACACTGCCCAAATCTCTTAACTGTAATTTTTCAGAAATTTATATACCTTGCGATTCATTTTTCCATGTATAAATATACACAATATGATAGTATTAATTTACCATAATTATAAGCTGTGTAGTTAGTGTAATTTCCATGAATGATTATAAAAGTGCCATCTGTGTATTTCTCTTGTAATAGAAAACCAAGCTGAGAAGTTACTATTCTCATTAGTTTTCCTCCCTACTCCTGGTCATGTTTGTCATTCTTGTCTGTGGTTTTTGTTAAACTGATCATTCTGGGTGTTTTGAGACAAAGTTACTGGAGCTGCATATTTTCACATCAAATTATCAGGTAAAAGATGCCCTTTTGTATCCAGTATAGGCATTTGACAAAGGACTGAAGAAGGGCAGAATCAGTGTTATTCACCCCACAGTTATTGATGTGGACTTGTAACACCTATGGGTTTACAAGAAAGCATGGATGGTTCTTATATGTCTCACTGGTTCCTGTTTTCTTCCATTTGTGTTTTCTGTCTTGGAAATTCACAGTGATACAATACCAGTTGTTTGCCTGTATATAATCCAATTTAGTAACTACATAGTACTGTCCAGTTTTTTCAGCAAGCAGAGAAATGTTAAGTATTCTTGAATATAGTGAAAAGGGTTCATTCAGTTAGAGGTTTGCTAATGAACAGAAACAGATAAATTCAGGAAAATGGCACAATTAGACATACTTGCTAACAATAAGAAATGAAGAAAATATTTTCCAAGTTCTGAATATAATCCATATCATTGAAACAAAGGTAAGGCAAAGAAGAGAAACAAAAAAGTTTTGGTGTTTGTTTTTTGTTCTTTTTTTTTTTTTTTTTTTCCTAAATCACGGATAAATCTGTTTTGTAGTCAGACCTGAAAGTTTTCACTACCTTGTTACCAAAAACCTTAGGAATTCTTCTTGAAGAGTTCATTTCACAGGTTGGATGGTTATGAATTGCAGTAACAGATCTGCAATTCTGCTAGGCAAAAGATAAACATTATTTATACTGGTATCCAACCCAAAGGTGTTTGTCCCATATATGTGGGTTAAATTCTGTTGGAATAATGCTTTTAATGGATAATGATCTTCAGGCTTTGTGCAAACATCGTTGATAACTGTTGTGGTAGTAACCAAGAAAGGTGGGACATTTCTACTTTCAGGGTACTTGTAAAGAGTTTTCTAACTGGTGTCTTCATATCTGTGGTCCCTTGTGTCCTAGTCAGAATAAACTGCAAATCTTTCAGTGCGGTGTAATTTCTGGTATTTCAATGACTATGGGAAAAGCATTTTACTTACTTTATTCAGTGATTAATTGCATTTTTCATTTAAGTAACTTCACTTATAAAAAGTCATATGTCTTTTCGGAGTTATCTGTTCACAGAACATGAACATTTTTACAAGAAAAGTAATTTCCTTGCAGTGTTGCATTTTTTCCCCCATACTTCTTCCGTCTTTATTTTGGCACTTTCATCTTTGTTCACCCGTTTCCTTATATTGTTTTTCTGTCAGGGCCTGCAATGGCTCAGTTAAATTTGTGTGAGATTTGTCTATAGCTATTTTGAATCCATAAAGAGATCCTATCTCCCTTACAAGCTATTGTATCTTTCTGTCTTTCACACAAAGACATGTTGTATGAAATAGTGACACAGAACCTCACTTCTCTGCTTTTAGTTTGCTCTTGTGAATTGTGATCCAGTAAACAGTGAGGAGGCAAACCTGGAATTTATGCTGTCTAAATAAAGCAATTTAATAATAAGTTCATAAGCACAATATGTGTTATTTCACTTGCATTTCTTCTTTGTAAGTTACTTTGTAAATCAATTTGTTATTTAGATTTGCATTAAACAAATACATTTACAGATTGTCCACTTATCACAAATTGCTTTATGTTTCTGAAATATAGGTGCCACAGTGGGTAGATTAGAAATGCCATTTTCCAGGTTTTTTTTTTCAAATAATAATTTTCAACTTCATCCATAGCAAATCTGTTGTCCAGCTTTGTAATTTTTAGTTGGCTGCTAAAGCTAAATTCAAGGGCTGTGGACAGTAGGAGGCAAAGTTAAAGCCTCTATACTGGTACAACCAGTTGAGAGCGTAAAGATAGCAGATCTGTTGTTTTGGAAATTATGTCACTGTGCATGGGAAGCTGTGGTTCTCTCTTCTCATGTCTTCCGTGAAAGTAACTGGCAAATATATTCTTTAATTTCATGTTACTAGAAAAAAATATGAAACAGTAATTAAAACTTTGTTACTATTAGAAAGGAGGATGAATAAATGCTGTGTATTTTCTGGTGTTCTGAAACCATTTCTGTCATTCCTTCACCAGTGATGAAACACAGAACAAAATAGATACATGCTTTGAAAAGAAGGTCCACAGAGGGATTTATACTACCTTTCTTCCCAAAATTCCAGCCTACTCCTTTATGAAATGACTGGTTTATAGACTTCAGAGGGAAAGATGTTTCTCTGAAGTTGCACATAATGACTAAAACCAAAATGGGACTGCACAAGCCAAGCCATGATTCACAAAAAAGTTACCTGGCAATGGAGTGCTTATAGCTGAGGCAGAAGCCCCTTAGACTTCTCCAAATTGCTTGGCAAACCCTGTAGCCAACAAGGGTGCTAATCTAACAGTGGTGCAGTGGCTCTTAGCTGACTGAGGTGTAAGTGGGTGTTATGAGTTGCTTGTAATTCCTGAAGATTTAATATAAAGTTAATTCAAAGCTGTTACAACACCATAACTAGTGATTCATGGTCACTTCTAACTTAACTACTTTCATATTCTGTTATCCATTCTTCCCACCAAATTATCCTTGAAACTCCTTCAATGCAGTGGCTTTCCTGTGCAATCCAAAGCATTTTGTTCCCTGCAGAACTATTTATTTCATACAAGGGGTAGCATATAAGATGTAAATAATGTTTTCCTCTCATATAATTAGGATATTAAGTCTCAACTAGAGAAAAGAGTCTTCATTGATTTTTCTTTGCATGTGATTCTCTGTACAACTCTGGACTTGCAACAACATATTCCTAAGGGTGCCTTAGAGTTTCTTCATATGTAGAGGAAAATTGTTTAATAACCAATAGCTGTTCTCCCCAAATAGTCTAAATAGATGGGGGTGGAAGGAGGAAATCAATGCACCCAAATAAGGTTGTCTGCTTGCAGTGATTAAGACTCAGAAATAGTCCTTTTCAAAGAGGTAGAATGTAGCACAAGTTGTTACAACAATATGAACTAATTTTGGTAACATAAACATTGGTGTGAAATGACTGCAGTCCCATCTATGCTACATTCAAATAGTGCAGTCAGATGCATTTCAGTCTGTATTAAATAAAATGCTGTCTGTTTCTAATGTGGTTTGGCTAACTGGTGAAAACCATAGCATTTTGACTTGTTTGAAAGGCAGGTTCTAGTGGACAACAGAAAGTGTTTATCCAGCATGGTTTCTGTGTGTTTGTTCTGATCAATGCTAGCTGGGCATGTTGTGACAGAAAACCCTTTTTTCTGCATTCAGGCATAAACATTGTTTGCAAATTTATTTCAAATAACTTTTTATTTGGCCTAATTCTTGGGTCTTGATGTAATCATCTGTCCTGAACATTGTCCTGGAAATAATTATTTCCAGCATTTTCTGAGCAAAACAGAAAAAAAAATAGACTCCTAGATAGACCAGGCACCTTTTCTGTATTGCTTTTCTTCTGATTTTGTCTTCATTTAATAGACCGTGTTTTCTTGAGTACTTCAAAATATTTCTCATCACTTGCCCTCAGAACTGACCCAGTGACCTGAGAATCAAGAAAATGTCATGTTAGTGACTACTAATTAGTGGATCCAGAGAGCTGCTTCTCCTGGCCTTTCAACCTTCCAGAGGCAGCAACAAAACCTGTCACATGTATCATACAAAGAAAACAAGCATTTGCCGTGTTTGTTTTTTTTTTTTTTTTTTTTTTTTTCCTTGAGTGTAGATGGTAGCACAAGCTCAATTAAGACTATGAATTTGTAAGGAGGAAATTAACCTACAATATAATGTTTACATTTATTTCTCCTTTTCCACACATATACTGCATCTGTTATCCAGTTCTTATTGAACATGTGTGTGTTAGTATGCTGTATTGTAAGAGGGGAAAAAGAAATAATCTATTCCTTTTCTCTCTTTTCTTTTTTGTTTTGTTCTTATCATCATTTTTTTATATCTTTTCAACTACTTCAAAATGGTTTAAATATTTCTAAAAGGGAATATTTTAATCCTTAGTTTTTAATGTACAGCACACAGTCCAAAGTTAACTTGTCTTTTTGTATGTTTGTTGAACAAACTCATTAACAGAAGATTCAGCCATACTTCCCATTAATCACTGTTGTACTTCCATGCCTTTTGAGTCATCATGGATTTTTTAGGACCACCTGCTGGAATGACTGTGGTAAAATGTGCAGTCACAGCCATGTCACAGAACTGTTTGTGTAAGTAACATTAATCTCCTTTCTATTATTTTATTTATTTTTTTATTTTTATTAATTTTCAGGTCTTTAAAATAGAGGTGCTAATGAGTGGAAGGAAACATTTTGTGGAGAAAAGATACAGTGAATTCCATGCGCTTCATAAAAAGGTAGTGATCTCTTTCTTTATAAGATGTAACTTTGTTTTGTCTTAGTGGTGATGTTTTCCTCTCTCTTGAAATTGTTATTGTACATGGTTTATCTCAAATACATCTTGTGATTTATATCTCTGGAAATCATTTCCCAAATAACTCAGTTTCTTCTCTATTTTGCGGAAGGGGTGATGACTTCTCAGACGTTACTAAGTCTCCTTTTCTCTTTTATTATTGTCTACATGCTGTATTGCTAAAATGCTGTCTGTAGTATGTTTTTTCTTGTTGTAAAATCACAAAATAAGACATATTCCTATAGCAAATAAATACAGTTTTGGGTTTTATCCAATTAGGCAAATAATTTATTAGTTCCATAAGTTGTGTTGCTAAACTGCTATTTGTAAAGTTGGGGAAGCAACTTGTATACACCAGGAAACTAGACGTGAAAAAGACAGTATACTATCTCACTCTGCTACTTTTCATACAATGAATGTGATATGAAATATGTGCTAAGCTTGTCTACTGAATCATCTTACTAATATATAGATGGGTACTCAGTATTTTCAAGATTGATTATCCACTAATTGTTCTTTGAATTGTTTTGATCACTGTTAAAGGAAACATATAATTTCTCCTCTCCAAGCTGAACTGGATCCTGCTATACAGTTGTGCAGCTGAAAGGCAGGTTCTGCATTTTTTTCTGCCTTATGGAGGCCAAGTATTGTGAAGGAGAATTATGGAACAGCACTGCATCCCATTGCAAGCAGTGGAGCTGCAATGAAGAGCTTTAGTCCTTCATTCCTAGGACCTGGGTCAGCTAAATATTTGTTGGTTTGTTGCTTTCAGTGGCAGTGCATTGTGTGCACCATCAGCTGCTTTGACTGCTGCTGCTTACCTTCAGTATGGAAAAGCTTCCTCTGAAAATGGCAGAGGGGAGCACAGGCATTTACAGATCCTGCCCTTGCAGTGTCAGATGAGCTTATTCACAGTCGCAGGTTTGCCGGTGGCCCTGAATCTGCTCAGGAATCATCTCATTCAGGGAAGAAGTGTTTTCCTGGTGGCAGAGAGGATGGATTTTGCCAGTCTTGTATTATGGTGTATGGATATAAACAAACTTGGGTCTATGAAAGTCAATTATTAACTGTGTTGGCCATCAAAATTCAAAGAGCAAGAATACATTTTGCTTTACTGCATCATAATTAAGATGTGCTAGTATTTCTTGCCTTTTTGCTTCTTGCCCCAGTTGTGGTATCAGCTGCCACTTTTTAATACTCATTTCCTTGTTTATTGTTTTAATTCGCACATCTCTCAGATATTTTCCCTGTTGTGTTCATATTGAGTATGATACAACATGAGCAACAGTGTCAGAATCAGTAGTACAATTCACTCACCAACCACCAAGTGTTGCTATACATGCATGTTTTATTTTACATACGAGAATAATCCTGCAATTGAAAGTAAAGCAGGTGAGGAGAGATCATACAACTAAATAAATTAGGAAACATTGAGAGGGGAAAATCAGGATTTATATGCTTAAAATGCACCCTGCCCAAGTAGGCCATCTCCTATAGTTAGAATAGAACAAAATAAGCTATTTCAGTTGTAAGGGACCTATGACTATCACCTAGTCCAACAGCCTGACCCCTTCAGGGCTGACCAAAAGTTAGAGCATGTTATTAAGAGCATTGTCCAAATGCCTCTTAAACACTGTCAGGCTTGAGTCATCGACCACCTCTCTAGGAAGCCTGTTCCAGTGCTTGACTACCCTCTTGGTAAAGAAATATTTCCTAATGTCCAATCTAAACCTCCCTTGGCATAGTTTTTAACCATTCCCACGCATCCTGTCACTGGGTCCCAGGTAGAGGAGCTAAGCACCTCCCTTTCCCCTTCCACAGGAAGATGTAGAGGACAGTGAGGTTACCCCTCAGCCTTCTTTACTCCAGACTAGACAAACCCAAAGTCCTTAGCCTCTGCTCATAGGACGTGCCTTCCTCTGGACACACTTGACTTGTGTGAGGCCACACCAACACTGAATACAGCAGGATAATCCCAGCTTTTGCCCGGTTGTCTATGCTGTGTTTGATGCACCCCAGGATGAAGAGGTTTGCTGCCCTGTTGGCTGCCAGGGCACACTGCTGAGTCACGCTGAGCCTGCTGCCAACCAACACCCCCAGACCCTTTCTTCAGGGCAGCTCTACAGCGACTCCTCTTCCAATTAATAGCTGTACCCAGAGTTACTGTGTCCCAGGTGCAGAAGCTGGCATTAGGACTTGTTAAATGTCACACCATTAATAATTGCCCAATGCTGCAATCTGTCTAGATCCCTCTGCAAGGCCTCTTGTCCCTCGAGAGTCAACAGCACTTCCCAATTTGGTGTCATCAACGAACTTGCTAATGATGCATTCAACTTCTGCGTGCAAATCATTGATAAAAATATGGAACAGAACTAGGCCTAGGATTGAGCCCTGTGGAACACCACTGATGGCCAGACACCAGCCAGATGTAGCCCCATTCACTACAACCCTTTGAGCTCTGCTCTTCAGCCAGTTCTTTACCCAGAACAACATGTACCTGTTCATACCGCAGTTGGACAACTTCTCCAGGAATACTGTAAAGGACAGTGTCAAAAGCCTTACTAAAATTCAGAAAAACTACCTCCACTTCCTTCCCTTCATCCCCTAGGTGGGTGACCTTATCATAAGGAGATATTAAATTAGTTAAACAGAACTTTCTCTTTGTGAACCCATGTTGGAGGTGCCTGATGATTGCATTGTTCTTTAAATGACTTTCAATAGTACCCAGTATAATCTCCATAATTTTTACAGGAACTGAGGCTAGACTAACAGGCCTGTAGTCTCCTGGGTCTTCCCTCATCCCCTCCTTGTAAACTAGAGTAACACTGGCTAGCTTCCAGTTAGCCAGGACCTGCCCAGACTCCCAAGACCTTTGGTAGGTGTTCAAAAAGGGTCCTTCCATAACATCCGCTAGCTCCTTCAGAACTCTGGGATGAATCCCATCAGATCCCATGGACTTCTGAGCATTCAGCTGATACAGCTGATCCCTGACAATTTCAGTGTTCACAAGGGGAAAGTCACTGTTCCCCACTTGTAGTCCTCCAGCTCTAGGGACTGGGCAGCCCAAGGTGTCTCCATATTATTAAAGACTGATGCAAAAAAGGCATCCACTTCTTCTTCTTCCCTTTATTGTTGTCTAATTTGACTGTAATTTCTGGAGTTGCACAATTGCTCCACACAAAGGTCACAAATGACTGAAGTTTCGGTCTCAGATTTGTTTCCTTGTACACTGCTTCTTCTGCAGTAACTCCCTTTGAAGAGATTTCTCTTTTTCCCTTTCTCTCTGTCCAGAAATAGCATCAAAATAAACAAACCTGAAGAACAGGTATTTGAACCAGACAATTTGCACCATTCTTCAGTTTGTTTCATTTCACTTGTCATCTGCTTGCTGTCTGTTTATATTACTCTGCAAACTTGTTAGTGATTTTTTCTGATTTGTTGCATGTACAGATGCAAAGCACCCAGCATATTTTGGCAATATACCTCTTTTCTTAAGTCTTACTTTTTGAAGTTGTAGCAAAATTTCAGTGAACATGGTTGAATAGCTCATGTTCTGAACCTTTCTTAGTGCTTTCAGTATTACAGAAATCCTGGAGAAAGCATTCTCTGGTAATACAGTATGCGGTTTCACCCTTTCTTCTGCTCTCTGCTTTGTGTTAGAGCAGAAGATCTCAACACTCTTAAAAATGTAGGGTATTTGAACAGTTTTTACTGGAGAAGAAGATTTTAAACTTGTATCTTGATTGTTCTTTGTGAGCCATTTGTTCACATCTCATGACACTATTTATACCCAGGTCCTGATATCAGTTTGCTTTCAGCATGCCAATAGGGTATTTATTTTTTGCTCCTCTCTTCCCCTTTAATTTAAAATGTAAGTTTCACTCTAAATTGCTGAGAGTACATGGCAATTGGAAAGGTATCTCTAGACTTTCTGCATATTCAAGGTGCCCTTAGTGCTGGAGATGTCTGTAGTGAGTAGGAGAAAAAACTTCTGTAGAGAACAGCTGTGGTAGAAAATGGGAAGAGGCAGAAGGGGAGGTTTTGCCTTTTGCTGGAGAAGGACATGCTCCACTGGCATCATATGGAGGAAGAGGGTCTTCATTGCTCATAGAAGATATTATTCATTCATCAGAATACCAATTAGTGCTTTGATATATATATATATATATATAAAAAAAAAAAAAAAAAAAAAAAAAAAGACATTTCCAAAAACATAGCTGGATTTCTCTTCTTTTTGGGTTCAACCTTTCTTACATTCCAGTTCTGTGAAAAAGTAAAGCCCTACTTCCTGTGCAATCTGGGTGTAGGTTTAAAATCTTTTCAAGACTGGCATGCTACACCAGGAGTACAAATTATTCCCTTACCAGAAACCATCCATTGCTGTTGGCTTTTTGAAATAGTTTGCATAGGCCATTATAATTTGCCCTGGTTTGAATTACAAACCAGGCCTTTCAGGCTATGCACCATTTACATTACAGTATTGTATTAAAGTCTGAACAAAAGTTCTATTATTCTCCTATGGAGAGTTTTTCCTAAAGAATTAGATTCTTTCTATATGTATAACGTAGTTAAAAATACAACCATTTATTCATATTTATTCTCTAATTCCTTTTTATACTTTTTTTTCCTTTACATTTTTAAATATTGGTAGTTCTTTTTAAGCAACAGAATGCTAGAAGATGATAGTGTTACAACTACTGCAGTGAAATCTGCAAAAATCTTACATACTATACATCTTGTTTTGCAAGGTATTTATAATTTTAGAATAATCAGTGTACACTCTAAATCATATTAACTTTTCACACTTGGACAATTCTTTACTTGATGATTTGAGCCATCTTTTAGTCTTGCAGGAAGTAGACACTACAGTACGTCAAATAAGCATTAGTTCAGTGTTATGGACAAGAAGATACTACGGGCAGTAATTGTCCTCAGATAAATATTTCTTGTATAGGCACAGGCCTAAAGCAATATAGCTGACACATACCTGGATTTGTTTAATATTCTTTGACATCATAGTAATTATGTGTTGTAATATATTATTGGATTATTGTAAGCGTAAGAATGTGGACTTGTAATTTATTCTCTGTACATCTCTTTAGCATGTGCTTTATACTTATACACAGTACCTGTGCTTGCACATGAAAGCAGTTGTCTTTTGAATGCTTTATATAACAAGGCCACAAAGCCCAGAAGGATTGTTAATCATCAGCTGAGTGACCAGCCACAGAGTACTTATCTTGTAAGCAGCTAGGCTTTGGTGGATGCTTGTATTATTCCAGATTTGTCTCCCCTCATATGGAGCATTCTTCTCATATGTTACTCATCTACAGGTGCTATCATAGTTCACAACAACTGTGACCATAGCTTCTTCAACATTCCTGACCAATTTAGAGTTAAAAATGGGGTTTTATATTCTGGCCTTAAGAGCAGTCAGTAGAAGTACATGGGTTTGGGGTTTTGTTTTGGTGGGTTGTTTTTCTCACTTCATGTTTAATTATGATTTAGTACTATTAAGAAATAAGGAAGTTGCAAAATATTTCGAAAGCAGTTGAGGTTTCATTGCTGCAGCTTCCTAACTTGTGGTTGTAGAGATGTTGATATGTTGGCACTGCTTTTTCCTATAGTGACATCTCAGCAAGCTCAAAGATGAAATGTAAATTCTCAGTCTCCCATGGGTATACATGTCAAAGTCAATTTTGAGTTTCTTTCCTTGCATTTCTTGCCTTGGATTTACTCAGAGGCAATATCCAACAAAAAGAATGTTTAATGTCACCTTTTATTAAAATGCAATGGAGTCTATTCCATTTATTATTTTTGCTCTGTAGTTTTAAGAAAAATGTTAATGTGTTTTGGTTTTGAAAAAGTACGTTGCTCTGGAAAGAGGATTCTTATTGTCAGAATGTATGTTTGTGTCTATCTATAGGTACTCGTGTATGCATATACACATTTCTGTATATATCTATAAAAGCTTTCTTTTAGGGATCTTCAGAGCAATAGTTACAGAGGTCTTTTGGAAATATATTCAGTGGCAATCTTGCTATTTCTATGTATAAGATATTAAACACAACTGTCAATCTGTGGTACAATTTGAGAGCAGAGATATTTTGCTCTCTTGATTTCCATCTCTCCAGAGAAATGGTTAGCTCCCCTCCCTGTACTCCTCCCACTGTTCATAGTTGCCTAAATCTAGAGTTAGAAATTGTCATGGTGTTTTATCACTGCACTTAGCAAGGTGATATCTGGGCATGTCGCAGGGATGTGAGATATCATCCCAGATTGGCTAACAGGGAATTAATTTCAAGTATTCTCATATAGTTGTTGCTGTTTCGTTTTAAGGCTGCTAGTCACAACAGATTGTTAGCAGGGTTCCTCTTCACTGTACAGAGCAGCTAGATGTGGAGATTTTTAACTGCAGCCTGTAGGTATGAAGTCTGTTGTTGACTTCATTGAACTGATGGTGAGTAACTTCACTGCCATGCTCTTGTCCTTTATGTGTGGTTATTTAACTTGTACTACCTCATCTCAAACATAAACATGTTTACTTTTAAGGAAAGCTACTATACTTTTTTTCTGTCTGCATTTCTTCTCGTTTGCAGCTCAAGAAATTCATAAGGACTCCGGAAATCCCTTCAAAGCATGTGAGAAACTGGGTCCCCAAGGTCCTGGAGCAGCGACGGCAAGGCTTGGAGTTGTACTTGCAGGTGAGTCTCCTCTCAGCACCTTTAAAGTAAAAGTGTCATCCATTTTCAGAGTGGTAATATCCAAAGCTTTTGAAGGTATGAAACAGGGCATTTTAATGATAGGCAATTTTAGAGGTGGGAAATGAGCTGAATACTTACCATCAGTGATGATTTCTGTTCATTTAGCAAGACTAGCAGCTAGAAGTCCAGACTGTTCTGCGTTTTTTTCCTGATTCTTGAAAAATCTGCTGACTTTGGTGAACCTACTAGTACCTCATTTTCCTGTGCCTAAAATGGGGAAAATAATGTTGTTGTGACCATACCAATCAAAAGTGTTGCAATGGAGATACAAGGAGGCCTTATTTAACTGACCTCTATTTAGACAGACTAGGGAAGAATCAGCTCATTAAATTCATGTCCTTCTACTGTACATGCCTGTATCAAAATTGTTCATCTAGCTGAAATATGCACCTGTCATCCCATATGCATCTCAGTTGGTTTGGAAACTTGCATTAAGTCTCAGATTCTACCTATTTGGGTTCTGATTTTGCTACTGACTGTATGAAGTGTCTTCAGGAATGACTTAGACATATAGACAATTATATATACCAGTGATAAATCCCAGCCTTTTTAAATAAATGCAGTTTCTACTCTTACCATGATTGCTTTAAAAATGTCCTGTGGTGTAATTTCACAGCCATTTCTCTGGTTACAAAGCCAGGTTAAGGTGTTCCTCTAGACATGTTCCTAGTTCACTGCACCTTCAGCTGTACTGACACAACTGTTGCTTGATTGAAGAAGATCATAGAAATTATCTGAGTCAAAAGATGTTTGTCTTGGAAGAAAGGCAAGAGTGAGAGTATTCTATTTTTACTCAGATCAGAGTAGTGAAAATAGTAAAAATTTCAGAGTTCTGATTTATGTCATCATCCACAGTTGCACTGGCACACCTGGAAGCATGGTGAACTGCAAAATAAAGGACAGTGAGCTGCATTCACAGAAAATAGATGGTAACCTGCACCACTCAGGAACCTCCCTGATTTCTCAGGAAGGTTTATAAAAGAAAACAGTTTAAGGAGAATAGAATTATAGTGTGACATAAGACAGTATTACTTCTGACATTAAACTTTTACAAAGAAATTTGGAAATAAGGAGGAAAACACAGCTCAGATTTTGTTCTGAGACATAAGCATTTCAGGCAACACAGTTTATTTTTTCTTTTTAAATATTTAGTACTGTTAAATTCAAAAATTCAACCTTTTTTTCCTTCTTGCTTTATGATATTTATAACATCTTTGGCATCTAAAAATAACATTTATTGTGTGGGTGAAAAAAACATTGCTGTTGGAGAGAGTTTGGTTTTGAAAAGGGATAGGGCCTTTCTGGTTTTGATGGCTGTCAGCACAGCTTGCTCCATCATCAGTATGTTTTTCTCTTACAACCATTTGCTGTGAATTTTTTATTTTATTTCTGATTTTCATACAACTGTCTTTTGGAGAATACAGCTACTAAGGCGGAGGTACTTATTTCTCCTACAAGGTTGATTCTCTTAAAGAGATACAGCGGTATGTTAGTTATCACTTTTTAATTGCTGATAAACTTTAACGGAACGTCTCCCCCTGCTGGAAGAGTTAGTCAACTCTTGTCCTTGTACAGTCTTGTACATATAATTAGCTTTTCCCCTCTTCTATCACCATTGCCTATCGTAGGAACATACAGTGGTTTAAGTTGGAAGGGACTGCTCAATGTCATCTGATTAAAACATGACAAGACTCTGAGTTATATCCATACTAATGCACATACTAAATTAAAACCAGAACAAAAGTCATTAATATTCTTGTCAAAGTATTAATTTGTTAATGCTAACAGAAAGCAGAACTAATCATCAGTAAAATTTTAACTTTTCAATAATAAATATCTGATTTTAGACAATTTAAAGTTCATATTAAGGCACTTCAGTTATCAGAAACTTTTTAATAGTGCCAAGTATTTTCCAAGACACGGTGTAGGAACAATTTCAGAAGGCATGATCAGTTTTTAATTTAATGCCATGTATATAAAATATTGCAAACATGTTTTCAGGTGATACTAATGAAAATTAATCTGTAAGAGCAGTTTGGCTACTGCCATCACTAGTCAGTGGTGGTACTAGTAGCCAGCCATTTGTGCATCTGGTAAACTGTTATGGACTCGTGGTAGTCATTAACTGTTTTTTCAAAACCAGTCAGAATCTAATGCAGAGATTGAGCATTGACACAGATGTTACAATCAAATAATTTCTTTTATGCAATACATACTCCTTTCTCATTATTACTCTTTGCCCCTTGAATACCTGTGCACGCAAGAAGTAACATGCCATGCAGGTAGCAGTCAAATATAGACCTGTATCTGACACCGTCTAATCATATCGAGTTCTTAATATGTTTTTAATTAAGTAGTCTTCTATAGTTAAATGCAGATAATAATAATGATATAAAATTATAACAGTAGAATTGGTCTATATCAAAGAGTAAAGAAGGGAAGACATTCCCCTCTCTGAGCCAGAAGGTGCTGCAGTTGCCAATAGCTTGTTATTTCTTTGTTGCTTTTCATGAGAAACCACCCTCTTAAATCCTTTCAGCACAGTTTATGGAAGTGGATGGACAGGAGCTCAGAAACATTTCATTATATCTTTCTGAAAAATGGCAAGATTATGAATAAACCAAATATTATTAAATTATGAGATACAAATACACATTTTCTTAAATTTATCAGTATCCACTGTCAGCTAATATTCATCAGATGACTTATTTTGCTCTTGTCTTTGAAAGGTTGAGTGGGGATTTTTTCTTGTAATAGATTGGTTTTCATAGAATTGTGAAAGAATGATATATCTATATTACTTTTAGGTGTCTTTCATATTTTACAAGTTTAACTGGAATTTACAGCTTTTATTTTTAATACTTTGGAACAACTGACTAGTAAGCACTAGTATGTGTAGTAATTCAACTGCATGTATAATAATAATACAGAGCCCTTATGAATACTGAGAACAATCAACTGACTGGCAAGAGGAAAGAAGGATTATGTTTAATTTATTAATGAAGAAACAGATGCAAAGATAAGTGGATGACAGAGTGTGGCCCCAAATATTCAAGCAAATTTGTATGCAGCAATAAGCTATAGCTCCTGTGCTGCTCCGTGGTAACTATCTCTGTGCTTGATCTTAACCTACAGCATACAGGACTTCAGTTGAGCTGCTTCAGTCTTTGATAAATAAGAAAATACCTGTTATTGACTGGAAGCGGACTAAACCAGATCGAATTACCTTTTGGTAGCTATCAACTAAGACTTACCATAAATCAATTAGTGTGTGATATAAATTCTGACTTAACAGTTACTTATTTGTGTATCTGAGCTTGTAGCTTGTAATACATCAGAGATCAGAATCCAGGTGGTTTTGATTTAAAATTTGTAAAATAAATCATTGGATCACACTATTGTTGACAAAAATCTCTATGATAGTAGTACTAGATTGCAGCAAGATTTGAACTTCACTATGATTTGTTTGTGGTTACAAAATGTCTTCTCTTGATATGTTTCCTGAAGGATTTGATATTGAGAGAAGAGAGAAGATGCAGATTGGAGGTAGTTGGTTGTGTAGGGAGCCTCTAATTCGAGGACTGCCATCTGGACCTGCATTGAAAGTCTGTGACTCCTGATGGTGTGTTTGTGAGGCTGGAGAAATATGCTTGCTTGAAAGAAGCAGAAGGTGAAGGGAACTGTGGAAGGTGATAGGGCAAACTGATAATCAGCATTGTAGCTTCTGGATGGTGGTTGTTTATTTGTGATTTTTTTAATCAACAGTATAATCTTGGACTGACCATTTATCACAAAGCAATACAGAAATGTAGTCTGCTTTGGAAGTGTATTTAAAGGAGACCTAGATCACTTGAAATGCTCCCTCTTGCTCAATTATTCTTGTGTATGAGTTCAGTAAGTCATCTTGTGGATTGACCAACTGAACAGGTAGTTGGGGTTTTAGTTTGGACATTGAAGACATTGTTGGGATTCATAAGGGCAGTACTGAGGGACCTTATCTAATTGGTTATTGAAGCGGTTGCAGCTGTGTTGTCAATCTGATCAGTATTTCTTACAAATAGATTTTATATGATGTACTCTTGGAGGAGCAGTTTTTATGGAGCTTATTTTCAGTGAATTAGTAATGGGGAAGAATTTGATCCAGCCACCTGCTGTCTACTGATTTGGAGTTAGGTCATATCCTTGTCCTGGTAAGCTGACACTGGATGTTATTGCCATCCAGTCTCTCTGCCCCAGGGACTTGCCCTTTGACAGGTCTGCCTTTTAAAGTTCAATGGAATAGATATTTTCTAACCCCCTTGGGCAGAAGAAATCTCATCATTTGCTGATATCATCAGTCCAACAAGATAACAGGCATCCTTAACAGAATTCACTGGGAAGTCACACCCACACCTCAGCATGAGACTGTGTAGCTGCTGCTAGTCTTCACTGAAATGATTTGGTTATGGAGAGAGATTTTGGAGAAGACCCATATTTTTTAAGAGCTTCAGGATAGTAACTTGTCTTTTGTGGTCTGAGTGACCTAAAGAAATTCTTCTTGTGACTGGCAAGACTAATATAAAACAGAGGGCTGTAAACTTTCTGAACTGCTCTGTATGTATGTAGGGTCTGTATGTACATATGTCTCTAACCAGAGTTAATATGTAGAGCTAATATTTCTCTCTCAGATGAGGTCAAGAAAACATACTTGCCTTTTATTTACTCTTAAACTTTTTACAAAGAGAGCAGTCCTGATTCCTGCAGATAAGATTGGTTAAAGTGCTGCTTGGCTGTGAGACTTGAAGACTTGATGAACTTCAACATTCCAGCAGTTTCAGGAATCCAAATCTTCAAAATAAATTACGAAGTTTATGAAACTGGACTAGAGATTTGTTTTCCATTTAAGGAAATAATCTGGAGATCTGAGAAGCACTTTGACCTATATTTCAGTATTCTTCAAA